TTTGGTGTGGCCTCTAATGCAGTAAGGACAATAGTACCTCCTCTCCATGTCTTTAAATACAGTAAGTGCAGGCAAATCAATAGTTTTTGGGAGGTGAGGGTGCAGGTCGGTCAATTAGTTCCCTTTCTTTCCCTGTAAAAATCAATTTACAGTGACAGAAACTAGAGGAAAAACATACGATTCTCATCACATACTGATGAAATATGATTCCGTTTGCATGCTGTTACTTTTCTGTCTATTCTATGATATTCCATGACTGGCTGAATATCATTGTGTTTACCGTTGATTAAACATTATTTCCCATACTGCTTTGCGTGTTTTTATTGCTTGGGAATTGCGAATCTATTGACAAACAACATGAATTGTTGTTGACAGTGCTTCGGTATTGTCCTACCCTCATAGAGTGTCTTCTTTCTTGTAAACACTAAACCATTTTAAATCAAAGAGCTTTATATAAACAAAATCTTGGTGGGACTTGTTGTGTTTCCTGCCAAAGGCTGTTTTACTTGCTATATGCAACATTTAGTGTCATACTTCCCATAGGCGCAGTTTCTGCAACATTCTGGTGCCTGCATCCACACCTTCCTGACTTCTTTCCTTCTTTCCTTCCTTCCTTGCTTCCTTTTCCTTTCCTCCTTTCTTTGTTCCTATCTGCCTCTCTTTCTTCGTTGATAATACCATGTGTTTTGATTGGAATAATCATAATATATCATCATATGCTTTTGATTGTGATAGTATTTCTTGCTATTTTTGATGCCTACATGATCAAGTCACGTCGAAAGGTTCTTAGTTTATCCGTTGGAATCCGGTGGATATACACTGATTTTCTGCGGCTAGAAGTGATATGGCTGGGATACGTTGCCCGCTGAGAACAACAAAAATTACCTTTGCAAGTGTGATATGACAGCTTCAAATTGAAACAGCAGGTGCCTTCCAGCAAAAATAGCAATGGAATATATTTGTCAATCCTCAATTAGAGCACATGGGCATGTTCCATTGTCACTCTGGACCAGGTAGATGATCATCCAAAAATCCAGTCCCCCTTGCGCAGTTCATTTTACTGCAAGGATCAGTGAAACTGTTTGGGTTTAGGCAAGGTGGCAAGAGCAACGATCCAGACAAAACGTTGCTTCACCGGCTTCACCTCAATGATGCCACGGTCAACGGATATCAACAGAACCTTTTGGGCTCAGAATGGAATCGATGCCATCACCAGTACATTCCCCAAGGATATGAATATCGACCAACCTATATATATATAATATATATATATACAGTACATCATGGCGAACAACTTAATGGTCACCACAATGATGAATGGGAACCTGGAATCTAAGGTATTTTGATCAGATTGGAACGCCGTGTGTGGGCTGTTTTCTGAGACAGCACGTTTTGGGTCACTTCGGAACGCACAAGTTCTATCCTGTCTTTTCCGAAAAGATTCATCCACCATTGAAAATTCTGAGCAAATTCTGACAATACCCACATGTATCATCGAATATCAATAGGTAGTAGAGCAATAGTAAACCATCCCCAACATTTACCATAAATTATCATAAATGGATACAAATGGGCGGTATAAACCATCTATTTATGTGGTTGCATTGCTTTACAAACATTCATAGGGTGGATCCCCAATCCAACCCTTCATTTGCGGGGCTATTGACAAAGATTTTTCCACAATACGTACACGATCGTACACGTACATATACATACACGTAGACGTACCTGCACATTACAAATACAGAACATAATATACATGTATGAGTGAACATCAGCAAATCGAGCCCGCAATCGAACTTACAAAGCCATGATGAAAGAAACATATTGGTTGATAACGCATGATAAAGCTGCGACTTGATTCTTTGGTTGACATTTCAAGACCCCGGTCTGAAGATATCTGAAGATTCATACTATAGCTCACTTTCATCTCAACTTTGTTGAGTGTTGCATCATAAACTGCGCTGTGGAAAATGGGTCTGAAGAGAGACCTCTGCAGCGCATTTCGGCATCACAACTTGGGTTCTTCAGCTCACCGTGGCCAACGAGGCTCGACAAAGCCTCGTTAATGAGTTCATGGGATGTCAGTAACAGATATGATATAGATCAATATGGATTAATATAGATTAATAATGATTAATAGATGTGAACATATGTTAAGATCGACCTGAGGCGGTTAAAGATGTTAAAGAATTACGCCAAGATTCCGCCAGTGACGCCTCTCCTTCTTCGCAGTGCGCAGTGCGTCGGAGAAAAAAACAGCGCCACTGACCACTGCACCAGAAATCCAGTAAGGCAATGGAATGAAGTGCATGCAAGTTCATGTCCAGAGACTCTTACTGACTTCTAGACTGGTGCAGGAAAATTACAAAGGCCCAGTCCACAGTTGCAAATTTGCTTCACACACAGGTTCCATAGTTTTTATGATATAGTTGAGTGTGGTGAAAAAACCGCTGAAATATGCTTAAATTATGTATTAAATTAAGTGTCTTCATCAGAA